AGATCCATAGGACTAGGCCGAGGATAATAATACCTGTGAGGAGCAGATAAAGATAAACGTTGGGTACTGTTGCCATAAGAAACCCGGTTTATCGAAGAAGGCTGCTCCGCGGATTGGAAGTTTTGCTGGATCTCAAGAATGTCTTGTGGAGACAGTGTTTCAAAAGAATCTGGATTAGGAGGGTCACTTGAGAGTACCATTACTTGAGACGTAGTTGTCGGCGGTGGTTCACTGATGTGAAGATCTTTAATACGGGAAAGAAGAGTTTCCATAAACTCGGAATCTTCTTTAGATTTTAATTTAAAATCGCGAAGGACAGGAGTTGGTTTGATCAAAACTGGTTCAAGACTAACAGGTGGTTTAGGTTCGACTTTGCAGCTTTTCTTCACATGTGATACCATTTCTTCAATTTGGGTAAGCTGCTTTCCTGCTGTTTGACATAAAAGATTTGTATAATTATTTTGTTTGAGAACAGGAATCAAATCTTGGACCTGGACTGGATCTTTATATTGACTTCTATGAGGAATTTCTGTATATGCTGCAATAGTCATAGGCTTAGTATTTGTTCCTGTAGGTTGGAGTTCTAAAGTTCCTGTGGGAGGATGAATGCTACTAAATTCTCGTCCATCCGTGGTAACCCATTTTTGCTGTATGGCTTCGAGAACATTAAGTTGTGAAGTTGGAGGATAAACATTCTGTACATACCATAATGGAAAAGGAAATAACACTTGAATTTCCTCAAGATAAGAATAATACTGAATTTTATACTCCTGTAGTTGATCTCTACTATGGACAGCAAAATACCATTTTCTAAAGTCTGTATACTTATCCTGTAAAAGATTCTGATTGAGAATCTTGCGGTTTTCACTTCCTGGCGTAAAATCCATCTAAAGACGAAAATCCATATCACTGGCTGTAGGGCTATACTGGCCTTTGCTGGATCCTTTTGGCATAGGATATATATTTGGAGGTATTGGTGGATCATAAACTCCATGAGGTATTTGTTGGCTAGAATACTGGACACCGCGAACTATGGGATCTTGGTCAGATTCCTGAGGTTCATCAGAATTAGGTCGGGAATATGATCTAGAAGGTTGGCCTTGAAATATGGAATCGGGAGGTTCGGAATACTATTGTCTGGATGATTCTGGATAATCAACTTTGTAAGGTTGATGAGAAGGGACAGTTCTAAAACTGGCATTAGACATACTTCTGGTTAATCGAACAGGGGGTCGCTGGAACTGGAGGTAAACATTACCTTGATGGGTCTGAATTATATCGTCCAAGTTGTGTCGAACAATTGGTCTAGTTGGAACAGCATTAGTGATCTTCCATCTTTCTGGAAAAGATATTTTTTCCCATTCAATGATTTTGGGTACTGCAACTTGGGTATTGTAAAGATTAGTATCAATTAACACAGTTTGTCCATCAATACTTTTCTTCCTTACATAAGGATTCAAAGTAGATAACACTTTTAAATAAATTCTGGAGATTACAGAAAAAGGTGGAGACCTAGGAAGATATTCATAACCATGAGTAAGAATTCTGAATTCTAAAACTTTTGACAAATTTTGGTCAGAAAGGGCAACACTGAAATTAGGATATATATCAAAATATACTGGACCATGGGCTAGACTGGTTTCCATAGCACCCACGAGAGATGCTCTCCAATTAGTACACCTACCATCTCGTAGAGTACATTGCATGCTGGTATTTTGACCAAGAGGTGTCAAAGGTTTTAAAGCTATCTGGACAAGTCCTATGTGAATATATTTATATTCTTTAAAAAAGGGTATCAGATCCTGTACACTTAGTAAATACATTAATGTATCGTTATTATTTACTGGAGCTGCATGTTCAAAGGTTTTAATAATCTTTTTACTGAAAAAACTCAAAGTACCAATCTTATAGATGGCCTTTGGATCTACCTTCGGGATTGTCCACTTATCAAGGGCTTCTTTAACTTCCTGGTATGCTACCAGTTCTCTGGCTTCTGAAGTAGAGGCTTCTGTATCAGCTACTGTAGGGGCTACTGTATTTTCCTCTGTAGGAACAGTACTCATATCGATGTATGTGACTATATATGAATAATTAATAATCAATAAAACAAACTATTTAATACGTTAAACATGGCTTTGATACCAATAAGATGTGCTTACACAGGGGTAGACGGAGCACGTCTGTCAACGACTTATGCTACCACAAGGTCCTTACTGCTAACCGCTTTGACGGACACTGGAGCTACGCGACTTGGGTGACGTCCCACTCAGCCTCTCACTATGCTACCTCTCAATGGCACAAATCCAGGAATAACATAACAAATAGTTTTATTTTATTTAGAATTAATTATTGCATATATAGTCCATTAAGATTCTGGAGGAGGAAAAGGCCGATTGGCCCTTGCTAGAAAGCAAATCTGTTCATTAATTAAAGTCTGGACTTGATTAATTTTATTATTACACTCTTCTAATTGTTGTTGAACCCAAGGTTCATGACCATTACGTGCTAATTCTATGTAATATAATAAATTTCTTTTTCTATTTTTCCAAATATTCAAAATATCATTATATATAACAAGTTGATATATGGTCATGCATGAACAGATAAGAAATGAGAAAAGAGATACTTACAACCAAAACGACAAACTTTATTATAATACTTCAAGCTTTTTAAAGGGAAAACAAACTGAAACTAGAAAGAGAGGGAGAGAGAGAATATTAAACTTAGAAAATAAAATTTTGTGGTGCCTTCCACAGACTAGAGGCTACCAATTTATACTACAAAAGGAAATGATAACGAAGACAGGTGGCGTGTGCTAGATGGTTGTGCAGTCGGGCATCCTTATCTTCTTATCTTTAATTGTCGGCAAAGGGAGATAGCTGGAACAGATAATGGGAATCTGCTTTATCAAAAGTTGGTGTGTCTGTATTGTCAACACCGAAAGTTAGTTGGCCTATTGTGGAGTTGGAAAGTTGATGGCAGACAAAAGCTGGTGAAATCATGTTGCTTTGTTTTTACCTTTGCTTTTGTCGTGGAGTAATTTGTCGGCAATCATCTCTGTAACCGAATCCCAAATATCTCCATAATTAGGTTCGGTCGGGTCTTCTTCCGGATCCTGAGATTCACCCGCAAGGACAGTAAAGGCATTGTCTTCTTCATATGGATCTACTGTAGTTCTGTCATCTTCGCTCTGGGTACTGGATGTAGATTTCATGCTGGAGTCTTTACTAAACATGGATTGAAGAAATTGCTGTTTCATATAATCCATGCTTTTGATGACAAGCTCTGTTTCTGATAAGTCTAGATATTTTTCTCTGAGTTCTTGTTGGATTTGTACAAAGGGATTTACTGGAGGAGCTGGGATGGACTTAGGAGAGGCATCCCAGCAGGCTTGAGTATGCTCCTTAACTTTCTGGAGTAATTCTTGCTTGGGTTTTGGATCATCCATTTTAATCCACCATTTATACAGGAAAACACGTTTTAGTCTGGGAATCTTATTCTGGAAAACACATTTAAAATCCCATTTCCATATCCATGGAATGCCAAAACGAATAACAAAATGAATAAGGCATTTGGACATAGAAATTTCTTTATTTACTGGAAGTTGACTGAAAGCTACTTGCCAGTCATTGAAGGCAAGTCGAACATGTTCTGGAAAGGCGGAGAATTTAACGTATCAGAGCCGTTGATATGTCAATTTACAAATAGCTAACGAAAAAAAATGTACGCATGTGAGTGCCACAGCTTCATCAAGAATCCTGTTTTATAATTTCACCTAGAAGGGGTTTGAGATGACTGACCACTCAAAGCAGAATTTGAGAGGACGGAAGGTAAAGCACCATTTTCTTAAGGCACCATTCTACTGCCAACCCACTCTGGCTCTGCATCGGATGGCTCGATCACATGGACTGCACCATTGCTCATTCCAAGAGCGATTTGGTTAGGTTCAAATGGATATGCTGCAATCACCACAAGAAATCCACTGCCCTTGTTGCTGCAGAATTGATAGGTATGGTTACATGATTAAGCCACATATATACATAATACAGAAAATGTACAGATCAACTGACTTATAAAAAGAAACAGTTTTTCTTCAGGCTCAATTTGATTAGAATGAAAACGGTATGAAGTGAGAGAAAAAATGAAACTTTTTTTGAATTTGTTTAGCATGAAAGTGGTGAATATTACAAAAAAGTTAATTTTCTTGTACAATCCTTATTAACATGGTAACTAGCTTCTTAGTTTCTTGCAAAAAACATAGGAAAATAAAAAATAAAAAAGAATCAATGGAAGAGGTTAGTTAAAATTCCAAATTTCTCACTTTTTTTTTTCCTTGCAAAATTTCATCCTAATCAAATGCTTGTAAGAAATTTATTCTCGTTTCTTTTTCTTTTCTTTCACTTAGCTTTCTATCACTTTCACTTAATACTATTTTTTCTTTCTAGTCAAACTTACACACTATAAAACTACCCTCACAAAAAGTTGGATAAGCTCAATATTTTAGTGAATCACACAGCGAAGGAGCACACACCAATAATCGATGTCCCACAGTTGTCTCAAGGGCTTCTAAATTACTTTTCATTTGGTTTATCACCAAGGATTTTTTCTTTTAATATATTGCATATATGTCGAAATCATAAAAATAATCTTTTTTTTGTTTTGATAAATATCATCAAAACATTCTTTTACGGCTAGTCTTAATGAAAAGTCGCGGTAATAATAGTGAAGTCAGCAAAACTTTTGTAATGACACACACGCAGCACCTGAAACAAAACAAAAAGGGTAGTTTCCCTAAATTGTATCTCATCATGGAACAAAAGGATGATGAAATTTAAATTTCTCTAGCCTGTTGGATGGAAGAGAAAGTGAAGAGAACAAAATCAATTTTTTTTTGAAGTATACATCCATTCAGCATATTGAAAAAGAAAATAAAAGAAAAAGCTATTAGCTTATCAGGTTAGCGCACCTGGCAATGGGTGAAGAAGATATATAAGCAGATGGTGCTATCCAACATCGAAGCCTGAAATTATCTGCATCAAAAACTCCTATAGCACCATCCAAAAATCCAGTGAAGACCACAATACCATCACATGAGTATATTGCAGTTGAAATGGGAGCAGAAAGCGAGTCTCTAGGATACCGCTGCAAGAGGGTTTATTGGTTAACAAAAATAAAAGAAAACTAGACAAAAACACATGAATCAAAAAATATCCGCATATGTAGATGAACTATCTCCATGTGGTCATCTTGTATATTGTGCTTGAAATGCAGTCAGTCCACAAGAGATGCATGAAGATGAAAGGTGGCAATAAAGCAGCTGACATTGGTGATGTCATGCAAACTTACAGTAGATGGAAAATCCGATCAACCACCCAATGCTGCACTTTTTGAGTCAAACATCAAGACAATAGCTACCTAAAAGGCTAACAGCAATTTAATATCCCATCGTCAAGAAAAACATTTAATAATAGCAACCAGGAATGACAAATTAAATATACCTATGCTGCTAAAAAGTTACTTAGCATGCTAAAGAAGTCTGATCAAATTTAACATTCCCTCAACAAATTATTATCCTCAAAGACCCTTTTAGCTAAATAAAGATTTTAAAAGAAAAAATGTCTCACTTTATTTTCTTATCACTTTTTGTGCACATTTCTGCCCCTTTCTTTGGCAAGTATTTTGCATTTATGAGATCACAGTGCATCTAGAGAGGCCAAAGGTCCTTCAGTGTAGTTTTACTACACTGAATAAAACAATATGCTTTTGACAATGCATCTGTCCCTATTGAGATGATCAGGGGATATGAAATGGGAATGCTTAAGATAAGTACAAGCGAGAAACGAAATTGTCAGATTCTCATTGGGAGGTTTATTCCATTTCATCTCAGGCTGAAGGTACATCCAACTTTTAGTTCATTCTCTAAAAGAAACATGTGCACTGAGCAGCAACAACTGAGAACATGACTCTTTAATCAGGTAATCCATTCAGTTCCATAGCTAACTATAGTAGGATGTCAATAGCAGATTAGCATGGAAAAAACTAGGCCCTGGTTAGTTTATGGTAGGAATTGACAAGTAGAATTTAGGCATGAGGCAATATCAGGACACGAATAGGATGCACCATTCAGAACCACCTCATTGTTAGTGTATGAAGGAAACAGTTAAGATTTTGGGTCTAGAGCATAAGAACTAAGATATTTATTGTCACTTTTTTATGTCTTCAATTTTCCATTAAGTGTGATGTATGAAGACTATAACTTTTACTCAATTCCATTCTGCCATGAAGTTATCTCCAAGATGATAAATATGGTCATCATGATTGTGTCGATTCGGGTAGGGGAATTCAATGGCCAATTGCTCCCACTCTATGGAGATAGATATATATGGCTTAATGTGGGTGATTGTGTCTGGTTTGGCCGGAACAATATGATCTGGGAAGATGGTCAGTAGGCACTTAGCAGACGCAAGATCACAGGAGGTGGAGGAGGAGAAAGCCGAGGCACTGTTAGAAGAGAGAGGGTGGCAGTGGAGATCTTATGAAGCGGAGAGACCATCTGGAGATAAGAATTGATGGCTTGATGATTACTTGGGGGAGAACTCCTTATATAGGGTAAGTTCGAGTAGATCCTATTAGATAATTCCAAGAAGAGTTTGGGGATCTCTAGCATCACAGTATCATGCACCCGTGGTAGCAGGTATATCACGTGCATTGATGGAATACCTAAAAAGATGGTTTACAGTTGTGAACCAACTATTTTCACATCAGAAGTGCATAACCAACACAGGAAGAATAGCATTCATGTCCTTTGTGATAATTTTAAACTCCTCTAATGTGACCATAAAGCACTAGTAACTGCTTTAGAATGATTGATAAAGGTGGATATCCTGTAAAAATAGAGATATAATCACAACCTCAGGACACCGGTAAGTGGTAAATTCAGCTTGCTTCTGCGAAACAATAAAACAACAGGAGTCGAAAACAAAAAATATGATTTGTAATGATAGAATCATGTTCCTAACATATAACATGTCAAACTTTTTTTATGAACAGGTGGCGATCCCCATTATTTAAAAGTTCAACCAATAACAGAACTCAACATAAAAACAATAAGACAGACTTACTGATTGCAAGCATCCGAGCTGGCTATCATAAACAGCAATTTGGCTTTCATGGACCACTAATAGATGGGTTTGATCATTATGGAATTGAACTTTAGTTTCTCCAATCAGGGGAGAAGGGTGGCCAGGTGGTGCTTGTATGGGCCTTGCTTTCTTCTTTTCCCATCCTTCAGTGTCCCAGATGCATAGCTGCAATACAAATCCAGCATCAAGCATCGTAATGAAATTATGTATATGGCATTTCATCATAAGGTATAAATGATTCCAGATGAAAAAATAAGAAGAAGAAGAAGAAGAAGAAGAAAAAATCTCTATTATTCTGACACTTACCTGAGCATCAGCCCCAGCTGATACCAATATATCCAAAGTCTGGGAAAATGCAAGCCCCGTGATTTGTTTCTGGTGACCCTTGAGCTTGGCTTTTACCTACCAAATGGGTCAAAAGTAAATTTAAAAGATCCAGAATTCAGTAATATCGTCCTTAAGCAATCGATTATGTTCAAAACCCAATTATGCCTAATCACATCTCTTAACACAACACACACAAGCGCACAGTATAGTTGTTTAATATTCACCAAGAGCATAACAAATCCTCGATGCATGAAAGAAATCATTAGTCAAACAATTGCAATGTAAACTAAAATTTCACAATGCAGATCCTAGTGTTGTTGATTATTAACTCAACCACTGAAAAAAAAGAAAAAAGAAAAAAAAAGAGCAGCTATGATAAGACAATAACTTGTTGATTATTAATTCAACTACTGTAAAAAAAGTACTGTTAAGACAATGACTAGGATCAACAGATTCAGCATGCTATGGATATCTTCAAATGCAAAAAGAGTTGATAGCTCCTTGACATGTTAAAAGACTTGGTGTTTCACCTCATCAACCCGAACACTGTATACAGGAAAACACGTTTTAGTTTGGGAATCTTATTCTGGAAATCACATTTAAAATCCCATTTCCATATCCATGGAATGCCAAAACGAATAACAAAATGAATAAGGCATTTGGACATAGAAATTTCTTTATTTACTGGAAGTTGACTGAAAGCTACGTGCCAGTCATTGAAGGCAAGTCGAACATGTTCTGGAAAGGCGTCAAGTTGGATCCCAAATTTATCCCACCAAATGAGAAACTAGTTTGGGAGATCATTTTTGAGGACTTCGGGAAGAACACGAAAAAACCAAGAATGGCTGCGTGGGGGATTCATATAATAAAATGCTTGGGAAAAAGCATCGATATAATCCCAATAACTGTATCTGGATTCCTTAGAACGGATATCAAGAGTTCTGGTAACATGGGGATGCATCCCCCAGGCCTGAATAGGCACAATATTCTGGATAGTAGCCTTATTGTAATTAATAGGACTAGCAGTCCTATTGGAATCGGCTAAATGATGCTGGAATTGTACCAAGGCAAGTTCAGTAAGAATTTGCTCGTACACATATCTGCATTGATCAAAACGCAGGGGAGCGTTTTGGGTGGCGAGATAACGGCGTTTTATCTCCCATGGGTCAACCATCCATTGAACATCGGAAGAATCAATGTAAAGAACAGTTTCTTCGCGGATAGTATTCTAGAGATAAGCAGTTTCTGGAGTAAAGAGGACATCTTTAGCAGACTTGCTAGAAGATTCCCTTGGATTACTGGAATGGCCAAATAATGGCGGAAATTCTGTATGATAGGGGTTAGAACCCCTTCCCCGGCCCCGACGGGCGGAGCCTCGGCTTCTACCCTGCATGAGCTTTCTGCAAATATTCACGAGTTAGAAAATCTGGAAGGGAATTAGTTTCACCTTTAATATATTCAATATCAAAATAAAAAACAGAAAGTGTGGCTTGCCAAGTAGCAAAAATTTGTCGTTGGGCTAAATTGGCAACATCTTTTTTAAATATTTGTTTGGCAGCAGAACAATCAACACGAATTAAAAAATGCTGATTCAATAAATCATCCTGGATTTTAAAACACATTTAATGATGGCTAAACATTCTTTTTTGATGGTTGGGTATCGTTTAGCAGCATCTTGCCAAATACAGGAATGAAAACGTAAAAGTTCTTCTTTATTAGTATTTGGATTAAATTGTTTTAGTATGCCACCAAACCCTAAATCTGAGGCATCAGTTTCAACAATCTTTTTCCACTCTGGATGAGGCAAACATAAACAAGGTAAAGTGTGCACTTTAGCCTTAATTTTCTTAATAGCGGCAGTGTGTTCTGGACTCCAAATAGGTGGGTTTTTTCTAAGATGGCTGTATAATATTGCTGCATCAGTAGCAAGGTTAGGGTAATAATCATGGATATAGTTTAAGTTGCCCAAAAATCGCTGTAATTGTGTTTTATCTTTTATTTCATCAGGAAATTTGGAAGCAAATTCCATACTTCGATTAATAGGAATAATTGTTCCATTATGAATATTATGTCCTAAAAATCTAACAGTTGTCTGAAAAAGTTGCATTTTGGGAGCAGAAACAACAAGACCATTTCTGGAAATAACATGCTTAAAAATATTAAGATGTTTCATATGTTGGTCAATAGAGGATGAAAAAATAAGAACATCATCTATATAACATATGTCAAATTCTGTATAAGGATTAAAAATATCATTCATAATATGCTGGAATTCAGATGGTGCATTTTTTAAACCAAATGGCATGACATTCCATTCGTAATGCCCAAAGGGTACTGTAAAAGCAGTTTTATAGCAATCATTTTCTATAATTTGAACCTGCCAATATCCTGACTTCATATCAAATTTAGAAAATATGACTGCATCCTGTAATCTATCCAACAAATCTTTTTTATTTGGTACCAGATATCTAATTCACTGTAAAACTTCATTCAAAGGTTTGTAATTAATTACTAACCTAGGAACACCACGTTCAATTTCTGCATTTTTATTTACATAGAAAGCAGTACAACTCCAAGGAGATCTACTGGGTCAAATTAATTTTTTCTGGAGAAGAGTATTAATTTCATTTTTACAAAGTTCCATATACTCTTTTCTCATTTGACTGGGACGAGCCTTTGTAGGGATTTTCTTTTCATTAAAAGTAGGCTCATAAGGCAACGAAACCATGTGTTTCTTGCGATTCCAAAAAGCATTTGGAACATCACTACAAATTTCATCTTGGAATTCTTTTTCAAGTAAATTTATTTTTTGCTGGAAAGAGGATTGCTGTAATCTTTGTTCTGTAGTTAAAAAACTAACTTCTTTTTGAAGAAAATTTATCTGGTTTTGTTTTGAAGAAACTAAACCAGTAATTTGATCTAATTCTTTTGTACAAGGAGAAGTGATAAATTCAAAAACAATGTTTTGGTTATCAAGGGTTGTATGAATACCTATGGTGTCAATTTTGGTAATAGGCATTAAAAGATTCAGAAAAGGTGTACCAAGAATTATGTTTTGGGCCATATTTTTAATTAAAACAAAAGAGGTTTTTAAACATAATCCTTGATTGCAAATGAGGACTTCTGGAAGTTTGTAGTCAATATACAAACTGTTACCACTAGCACTGGTAAGTGACTGGCTTGTTTTCTGGAAATACTTGGTAGGTACCAAGCCTTCTTGTATGCAATTCATATCTGCGCCACTATCAACCAAAGCAATTGCATCTAGAATAATATAATCTGGCTGAATCATGAATGTGATACGAATATACCATTTTTGGAATGTTATTCTATTTAATAACATTAAATAATCTGGATCAGGTTCAGGCATTGCATTATTTCCTTTTTTCTCATTTTGTAGCTGGTTATTAATCTTCTTTATTTGTGAATTAATAACAAGATTAGAATTCTGTAAATGTTTAATTTCTACTTTTAAAGCATTAATTTCCATTTTTTGTTCTTGAACTGTAGTGGGTTTTTCTGGACTAGGTGTCTGGACACGATTAAAAACTTCTTTCAGGCTATAATGTTTTGGGGGGAGAACTTCTTCTTTCTTTTGATTATAGCACATTTCAAGAAATTTTAATTTGGTGGCTGGATCTTTGATTCCATCAGCAATTTCTAAGAGATTTTGCTGAGAATCAGTTAGGACATTAATACTGGGACCAATATTAAGTCCATTCATTTCAACTATAGCTTTCCAATAATTGACTTCATCGGAAACTTGGTTTACTGTAGTTTTACAAGGACATAGTTCATTTTCTTGATTATCATCAGTCTCTGGATCTGAACTATCTGAATAAATGGCTGCTAGTTCATTATCAGAAGGTCCTGATGATGAACTGGAGTCAGAAATCAACTGTAATATTTTTTGCTGTAAATCGTCATCTAATGCTAATTCATTAAGCTTAGATTGAATTTTAACTCGGCATTTATTAGCATAATGTCCAATTTGTCCACATTTGGAACATTTAATACTGGATTTATTCTTCTGAAAAGACTTTCCTTTAGACTTAGATTTATATCTAGGTTTAGAAGTCTGGGGTTGTACCTGGGTCTTATGTTTGGAATATTTTCTGTATTTTTTATGAGGTTTAGAATAATTTTTATGTTTCCTTTGCTTATGAGGATATTGAACTGGAGGGTCATAAGCAAATTGTTCACAAAATTCTCCTAATTCCTTTCTTCCTGTAATATGTTGTTGTCTAAGTTGTTGCTGGAGTTTAAGGTCGTTACAAAGTGCAAGACCTTCAGAAGTAACGAAACTAATAAGTTGTCCGTAAGTATACTGGTAATAGGGTATGTCTATTGAACGATGCACATCTCGTAATTTTTTACGAACTCGTTCAGCAAAGAGTGTCGGAAGTCCATCTATGAACTTAGCTTTCCAGTGATCAGCATTACCATCACCACGCTGCATCACTTTCATCAGGAAGACATCTTTATACCATCTAAAATGGGATAAAGAAGGGCATCGGAGTTTCATCAGGAGTTCCCTATTGCGGTCGGATATTCCTGTAGCATGACCAATAAAATGGGTAATTATGGTGTTGATTAATGTGTAGACAGCATCTTCTTCTTCAATTTGTGCAGCAGCTTCACCACTAGCACCAATAGCTTCAGTATCAATAACAGGATGGGTGGATGAAACGATTTTTGTACACTGATGAGGGGTAAGGATATTATCCCACCATCCTTTCAGAACACCGGTAAAACCACTAACAATATAGCAGGCAACATGGTGATCAGAATTATTATTTTGTTTGCAAACAGTGGCAAACATGAGCATCTGGTGGAGAACTTCATAAATCTGGTATTCAGAAAGACCATTGATATTCCATTCATAAATGGTATTACTGTGGTAAGAGTGTTGGGTCTGGAAAAAGTCTTCTTCGTACAGAAGATCCATAGGACTAGGTCGAGGATAATAATACCTGTGAGGAGCAGATAAAGATAAACGTTGGGTACTGTTGCCATAAGAAACCTGGTTTATCGAAGAAGGCTGCTCCGCAGATTGGAAGTTTTGCTGGATCTCAAGAATGTCTTGTGGAGACAGTGTTTCAAAAGAATCTGGATTAGGAGGGTCACTTGAGAGTACCATTACTTGAGACGTAGTTGTCAGCGGTGGTTCACTGATGTGAAGATCTTTAATACGGGAAAGAAGAGTTTCCATAAACTCGGAATCTTCTTTAGATTTTAATTTAAAATCACGAAGGACAGGAGTTGGTTTGATCAAAACTGGTTCAAGACTAACAGGTGGTTTAGGTTCGACTTTGCAGCTTTTCTTAACATGTGATACCATTTCTTCAATTCGGGTAAGCTGCTTACCTGCTGTTTGACAGAAAAGATTTGTATAATTATTTTGTTTGAGAACAGGAATCAAATCTTGGACATGGACTGGATCTTTATATTGACTTCTATGAGGAATTTCTGTATATGCTGCAATAGTCATAGGCTTAGTATTTGTTCCTGTAGGTTGGAGTTCTAAAGTTCCTGTGGGAGGATGAATACTA